TGTTTTCTCACATTCCCTATTATGGCAATCATGGCAAGACAACAACAAGAAGTCTTATTCATCCTGATTTGCCATTTACATCTTGAATTGTGATTCATTTGACACAAGTTTCACAAGCCCATGAGTGTGGTTCAGACTATCACATCTACACTGACAGGTTCTACTAAAGACCTCAATTTACTCAGGAATTGCATAAAACGAAAATACATATAACAAAAACAGTTCTGGCTTCTCAAGGATTTTCCAAGTAATCTGAAAAAGAAGAAACTTCAGGAATATGAATTATGTGCCTATCAAGGTCATATAAAGATAATGTGCTTCTCATTCCATGACAAGAGGTTAGTGACAATGTTCAGTACACTCTTTGGCCCTCAAACACAGTTGATCACTAATTATAGGAAGAAACAGCCTGTTCAATTTGAAAAACCGACAGTTATTTTAGAACACACAGAATTTATAGGAAGAGGGGACAGAGCTGACCAGTACTGTGAATGTTATGGATTTAAATATGAGGAGTTCCTAGAAATGGTGGGAAAAAATTTATTCTTCTGGCTAATGGACATTGCAGTTGCAGACAGCTGCATCTGTTACTCATTAAATAAGAAGAGAGTGGGCCGGGCGCAATGTCTCATGCCTATAATCCCAGCACTCTGGGAGGCCAAGGCAGGTGAATTGTTTGAGCTTAGAAGTTCCAGACAGGCCTAAGCAAGAGCAAGACCCCATCTCAAAAAAATAGCCAGGCGTTGTGGCAGGTGCCTGTAGCCCCAGCTGCTTGGGAGGCTGAAGCAAGAGGATCACTGGGGCCCAGAGTTTGAGGCTGCTGTGACTATGACGCCACACCACTCTATCAGGGGCAAGAAACTGAGACTGTCTCAAAAATAAAATAAATAAGTAAATAAAGTAAGTAAATAATAAGTAAAAAAATAAATAAATGAGTGGAGAAAAAGTGCACACTTCTCACAGGAGAAATCTCATCACTCATCTTGTGAGCAACATCAGGAACAAAAATTTAAGAGAAAAAAAGAAGGGAAAACCATCATTATTGGACACTAAGGAAAGGCTAAATGAGAAAATGCATTTTATAATGCAAAATGAAAAAAAATCAACAAAGGACTACAAGGTTTGCAACAGAAGAAATGAGAAAGGTAGAAGGTCTACTGTGAGACATGCAAGAGTAAGCCTGGAATTCATCCTGGATATTGCTTCAAGAATTATCACTCTCGGCTTGGCGCCTATAGCTCAACTGGCTGAGGCGCCAGCCACGTACACCTAAGGTGGCGGGTTCAAATCCCCAGCCCGGACCCGCCAAACAACAATGACGGCTGTAGCCAAAAAATGG